CCATCCCAGGAGGCCATGGCCCAAATGAAGGCCGGCACGTGGCTCTGCCCCCACTGCTACGAGCACGAGCACCCCTCAGAGGGCTGGATGTGCAACAGCTCCATCTGCATGAAGCGCCGCGGCTTTGCGCCCACGGGCATAGCCATCTACGACGCCCAGAAGAGGGGCTTCCAGTCGGTGGCCCACTGGCTGCAGGTGGGGGGGTGGGCGCTTTGGCTTTTGAGGGTCTTTCAAGAGGCCAGGGGAGTGGGAGTGCATGTTTGGGGGCGTTTGGGGAAGAAGCGTCAGTGAAAGGGGTGTTTACAGGCGCCTGCAGCCGGCGGGGTGGGCAGGGCAAGGGGGAGGCATAGGGGGAGCAGGCGCAAGCTGGCGCGGATTCATTGTCGTCTCAGGAGCCCGTGCGGATAGTGCGCGAGCTGTTATTGTCGATCTTGCACGCATGAAAGTATTCACATTGGCTGAGCCGTTGCTGCCGTGACCGCCCCGCGCAGGCCCAACTGAAGAAGCGCGGCGAGGGCGGCGCATCCAGCAGCGGCGTTTTGGACGCCGGGGCGCCGGCGGCGGCGGCGAAGGAGGGCGACCGGGCGGCCGCCGGGGGCGAGCGCAAGCGCGGGCGGCCGCGGAAGGATCCGGTGCTCGCGGCGGCAGGCAAGGGCGCCGGCAAGGGCGCCGCGGCGGCGGGCGGCGCGGAGGGCGACCAGGCAGACCCAGACGACGGGCAGCGCCGCACCCGCGCGCGCGCCTCGGCGGCTGCGGCGGCAGTGGTGGCAGTGCAACTGAAATCAAAGGGGCAGAAGGCGGCCGCAGCAGCTGACAAGGACACGGCGCCGGCCAAGGACGCGGGCCCCAAGGCCGCCAGGAAGGCCGCCGCGCCCAAGGCGGCGCGGGCGGCAGCGGCGGGCCCGAAAAAGGGCGGCAGCGGGGCGGAGGCGCTGTCCAGCCGCGAGGGGTCGAGCGAGCCGTTTGCGCCCCCGACGCCGGCCAAGCCCGAGTTGGCGGAGGCCAACAAAGGCGCGGGCCCGAGGCGCGCCCTCCGGCCGCGCCGCGTCTAGAGGCGCCGCCGCCGCGTGGCCGGGCGGGCCCCCGGGCGCGTTGGGCTGGGCGGCGCGAGGCCGTGTCTAGCTGACCCTGTTATGCCCCAACGCTCCCGTGGAACGGCTTCCGAGGCTGCTCTCATACATATGATGATTTCTTGCCGGATTTTCAAAGCCTCTCCGGCGCTATCGGCTCTGCATCACACTCAGTGACCTTGACTTTGACCCCCTGACACGAATCAACATGACATGACACGACATTACATGACACGACCTAACATGACCCAGGCGGCACGGCGCGACGCGCCGCGCGCCCTTGCGTGCGGCACCACCCTCGGTAGCTGCTGCCACCCGTTGTCGCTGCCTGCGGCGGCGCCCTGCCAGCGCTTGTGCTCATCCGAGCACCGTGCCCCTTGACCGAACCCTTTGACCCCGTGACGCGCACTCTGCTGGCCATTAGGCTGCGGCACGGCCACACGACATGACCAGCCAGGTTGCGGACTAGACCACAGACCCACGGACTCTCGAACTTGACCGCTGATAATGCCAGTCCTGACCTGTTCACTGACACATGACAGTTCTTACCCCTGGGCTGCTTCGCACGGAATCGGCGCACTCCCGCGCCTGGCTGCGCGGCGTTGGGTGTGCAGGGCGCCACAACAGCGCCGACGCATCCAGAGGGCCACCAGCCCCTCTGCTCACGCTGCCCCCGCCCCACTCTGTGGCCGCCGGTCTGCCTGCCCTGCCAGGGCGCGCTCGCCGGCCTGGCTCGATCCCTGTAACTTGACATCAATGCTCACAGCTTGATGGCTTGCCAAGAAAACACCCCACGAGGCGCCATAGTTGGAACGTTCATAGGCGGGGGGCCGTTATCAGGAGACAAGCTGCACCCTGGGGACCTGTAGATGGCGCGTTGGCTCAAAGCCATCCTGCTCGCCCCTGGGTGTGCCAGGTGCGCTGCTGTTCTCCCATGGCAGCAGCGCAACTCACGCACTTGTGCGCCGCGCTGCATGGGCTGCGGTGGCTGTGTCTGGAACAAAGGGTGCCCAGACTTACAGGTTCGATCTATATGAGCCCGGTCTGCAATCGCCCAGGCCCGCATGTGCTGGAGACGAGGAGGCCCGCGCGCTCGGGCGGCGGTGCTGTGTCGGAGTCAGTGAGCGCTATTGGACCGGCCCTAGAGTGATCCTACGTGAAAGCGTGCGCGACGAGCACGAGAGAATATGGCACCTCGGGGGAGGGCCGTGCTGCGCCCGCCCGCGGGGGCAGCGGGGGCGGGGGCGGGCGCTGTGCGTGCGACGTGCAAGTGCTGGCGTGCGGCTGTTTCAGGAAGAAGGGCGGCGCCACCTGCGCAGCGGCGGCGGCGGCAGTGCTGCTGCTGGCCGGACTGGCCTGCCTGGGCTTGACGGACTGGACTGGACTGAACGTGCGTCGGTGCACATAGAGATTGCATCACAATGCTTGCGGGACTGCGTGCGAAAAATGCGAATGGAGGCTGATGTTCCATGCGAAGGAGCGGTTTGAGAGCAGCTGCAGAAAGCACGAGAGGTCGCCGCTGGGGTGGGCCACGCGGCACCGCCCGCACGCGGCTGGCCGCAAGGCGCACGTGCGGCGCATACGACCCATGTGGGCGTGCAGGAGGGCGTCGCGCTTGGGCGCCCAAATCCACCCTCCAAACAATCCCATCCTAGGGGAGCACGCGTGCGCGGCGGCGCGCGCGAATCAGCCCCCTCCTGCAGTGTCTTGCGCGTTGGAAGCCGTGCTCTTGAGGGCGACGCGGCATGATGGGCGCGCTCGACTCCATGAGCACGCCTCGCCTGTGTGGGAGCCCCAGCAGCCCCGCTCTCAAGTCGCGGCGGGGGCGCCGCCCACCATTTGGTCCCAGGACGCATTGCCCAGCATGGGCG